TTATTATGATATTCTAGATTTTTAGGAGATACTTATAAACGCGAAAGCAATAGCAAGTATTAATCTTGTTTATCGACTTGCTGTCCCTCGTTTCAGTCTCTCGGTTGGAGCTGTAACCTTTATTAATCACCATGTTCAGGATTAATTAATATTTTTTTTATACGCATTCTTGAGGTGAGGAATTTCAATCACATCACCTCATAAACAAATTGCCTTTTTCGAAACAGGAAAATACCACTCTCACTGAAATTGCACTTCTATATATGCACTTGAGTGAAACTCACACTTCCAGTTTAAATCTATTTATAAACCACATGAAGAATAATATTTTGTTTTTTTTTGAAAGTTTTAATTTAACAAAATCCTTGATTTTTTAAATCGTTTATTTAGGCAAAAGTTATAATATTTAAAACTCCATATTAGCTAAAGAATTTATAGATGACACATAATGCAGAACATTCTTTAGTTAACAATGCATCGCGTCATCCATGTGGGCGTAGGTTTTAAGTGAGAGCTTTCGAGATGAAGCAGCTGACAACGCAGTCTTTTCATAATATTCTTTTTCGAGTTCTCTCTTTCATTCCGCCGTTGTCTCGTCACCTCTCAACATGCGACTATCTCGGGTACGTAGATGGTTTAGACGGTAAATGGGTGAAAAAATTCAGCAGATGACTCAGGACAGGGGCCTACAAGCGCGTCGCACGTGAACCACGTCGGGATGGCATTTATCCAGGAAGAAAGGATGTAGGCAGACAATAGGACGGAATAACGAGGAGACGTGGCAGCAAAGCCGAACGTCGTCTGTAATTTGCATGCAATGTAATCGAGGATACGATAAATATGCATGGTTTTGGTTAGAAGAAAGTGAAAAAGCAACGAATGCAGCGGGCACGTTAAATACATATCACGATGCGTTTGTTAGCAAATAAGTGACATAAAAAATTATACTAATTATATATATGTTGGTAATCTAATCATTTAAAAAAATGTTTTGCTGATATAGATAGATGTTTAAGTATTGCAACAAAAATTTATCGTTAATTTTTTTGTATCTGCTAAAACATTGTAACATTTAGAATTTAGCAGTAAATTTTAGTAATATTTTCTGACAAATTTAGGTCCCAAATATTAATTATTAGGTAAATAAAAGTTTTCACACAACTAGAACAATCTTTGTGAGAAATGATTTTTCTGTCAAACTTTATAATAAAGATAGTAACCTCAATGGATTTTTTTAAATTTCATTAATGATTCAGATATAAATTCTGCCTCTTTAGATTGATTAAGTGTAAAACATGTGCAATATCATGATATTTGCTAAGCATTTATCTATCTCAGTTAATTTTTCGCATTTAGAAGATTGCTATAGTTGCAAAACCATTTTTTCGAATGAAAATATAAAAATATAAAATGCACGAGAAATTAAAATCGAACTTTAAAACTTAAGAAATCTACATTATCTATCTTGTAAGTGATTTAAATTATAAGATGATATACATTCTTCTTAGGAAATTTTACATATTAATCCTTAAATAATATACAAATATTATAAATTATATATATAAATTGTAAATTATTGTACGAATCAAAATCTTTTTTCTAAACTTCTCCAGATATCGTAGCTATATTATACGCGCGCTACGTTAGAGATATCGGTTAAACCCACTATGAATCGTGCAAGTCGAGGCAAGTCGAGTTTGTATTATGACGCTCTTGAAGGCACGATTGAAGCGATCGTGCCTCTCGAAACACCCTAACAAGCGAACACGGGCTACGTCGCGGCACGAAGCGCAGGCAAGGACGCCTAGCAATTTTGAAGATGATCGTAGCGTCGAATTGCGGCTCGCGAACGTCAGAAGCTCACAGGCGAACGGGAGCGAGGGATCGCGTTCGGTGAATATAGATCGGCTTTAATATTATCGCCCGGCCGTGAGACGGCCGCCGATATCCACCGAGACTCCGACAATCTTCGTTCGCGCGTGTAATGCTACGTTCGGCGCGTCGTCGCACGTCAAGCACGGGCACGGGCGTTAACCGACGTTGGCTGTTCGTGGATATCGCCACGAGCGTAATTACACGAACGCGCGGAGGAATTCGTTGATATTAATCAACGTCGTCGACGGCACAGACGAGAGTGGGCTCCAGGGGTACAGGGTGGCTCGCACCCGGCAATTTTCGAGATAATGGTCTCTCTCTATGCCAGGACCGTGGCTCGAGACGCGAGCGAACATGCGAAAAACCACGGCGCGATTACTTTCTAATTATCGGCAACGATGATCCCTCCTTATCCTCCTCTCCCTCCCATCGTGGGATTTAACGTAGGTAGCCGTAAACGTGTGCCGTTTATTCTCGGGAGATCCCGGAGGAGCTTTGACGCGTCTCTTACTCGGATACTCGGAGAGAATAACGCGCGCAGAGAGACGAAGAGGGAGAATCTCGTGTTTTCTCGATCCGCGTTAATTAATTAGCGGCCGAGCCAAGGTTGCGACGGGCACCCTCGTTGGTTTCTCCCGGGAGACACCTGGTAATTTCGCAGCGCGACGTTTACGCGCGTTAGACGGGCATTAAAATATATGTGAAAATGGCGCGGCGACGATTCTGCGGATAGCCGCAAGTGACAAGAGAACGGCCAGGTAATTTAGAATACGCGGCCGAAGTGCGCGAGCCGTCGCGTCGCGTCGGGGAAAGGCGGTGCCGAAATTAATGTTACGGAGAAAACCGCAAATTCGCGCCGCGAGATCTGAATTTCCAGCTTTAATCGTCCAAGCGAGAGAGACGCAACGCGAGCGTTTGATGAGACGCGGCCTGAACCTTCTACGAACCCGTTCCCGTTGCGGAATCATCGCGCGGTTCCCACGTATACGTTTTCTTTTCGCTCGCAGTCCGGTTTCGCCGACAAGCTTCGTTCGTCTTTCTCTAACTAAATTTTCCTTCCCTGTCAAATTATAATACACAATTACAAAGTGAAAGAGGCAGCGAATCGATTAAATGATGATTAGCTCAGACACGCGATAGCTTATGTATCATGTATTATGAGAAATTGGATTGAATGTTTTGTATATAAGCAAGAATTTTTTTTATCTAAAACTTATCAAGAGAAGTTGATATTTGAAAATGTTGAAATTTGTGACACCTTGTGTGTATAACTAAAGAAATATAATTGAGGAAATACAATAAGAAGTGTGCAAGTCATGCTACTAGATTATAAACGAGCCGGGTGCACCGGATGTACGTCGCCGATTGCGTTATCGGAAGCCGTTCACTTTCAACGGCGATCGATGAAATCGCGCGCCCTTCGTACAATCATAATTTTCATAATACGTGATCAAGCAAGCGGGCGGACGACAGGACGCGCGCGGTGGGACCGGAAGCCACGGTTTGTGTCCAGCCGTTGAACCTGGTCTCGTTTAATTCCGCTCACGGAGCGGCACCGCGAAGCGAACCGGGGCTATTATAGCGCTGCACCGAGTGCGGATGATGTTATATACCCGGAGGCTGTCCACCGCCGAGTCCACCATTGAACCATCTCCTCCTCTTTCTCTCCGGCCTCAGTCTCGAGTTTCCAGCCGTCTTCTCGCGAGATGAAACATTTAGTCGTTGCTAAATAGCATCCGTAACAGAAGGAAAGAGAGAGAGAGAGAGAGAGAGAGAGAGAGAGAGAGAGAGAGAGGCAAGTTAGGCTACGGTAGATTAACCCGGACCTTGCTAATTTCCACGACTTGGGAATATTGATCGGTATTCCGATTGGAGCAGGAAGCTTTGCGCGATTCTCGACTTCCTCCCGTAAGTGCCTCTCGTCGCTCGATGTACGATGCAGAACGAGACTCGTGACGAAGAAACGCTTTCAATCTCTCGCTGTCGCTGTCGATTATCATCGGCGGATTAGCGGACGGAGAAATGAGCGAGACGATCCCGTCCACGGAAATTACATTCTTGCCGCATCTCATTCTACGAGACACTTGATGTACGTACAATATCGTACGTTAATCGACTTGACAATATCCGCTTGATAATGTAGGTTTGTCGTAATTGAGTCTCAATAATTGAACAATTAAAGCTTTAATAAACAATTTAAAAATTATATAATTGGAATACTTCGTGCATTCTTTCAAAATAATTTTATTTTATTCAATTCGATATGTAGATAATAATTTTATAGCTAATTTTTTTATATTGATCGATTATAATGATCGAATATTCTGATAATTATATAAAAAGAACGCGATAATTTTAACAGAAAAAAAACAAAAAGTTATGATATAATATTACGCAGTTATAATCAGTCTTTCGATTCGGATATGTTTTGCGAAACTCTTTGTATCTCGCCTCCGAATACGATTACGATTAGAAATGGATTTCTTCGTTGATTGTAATTGGCAGTAATCGCAAGAACTTCCCGAGTCGTTCGCGGACAGGTGCATTTCCTAGATTCGTCGTTATGATTATCGAGAGCGATGAAATGAATACGAACTTATGGCAATAGGGAAGTAAAGAGCGTTACGCGTTTCTTATAATGCCTAGTAAAACGCCCCGTTGAAAGATCATCCTGCTCGATCCTAGATCGGTCCCGCGAATTTAACGATTCAGTCCTCCTTCCGCGGACAAAGTACGCCGTAACTACGTCGTAACCGGTATTTCATCGACATGGTTAATTACAATGTGCATGTCCGTCCGTTCGACAAATAGACTTGCCGCTCGGCAGCGTATCATCTGACTGAAATACGGGAGATCGCTCGCACGAAGAGCGCTCAGAAAATAGGCACGCGATGTTTCAATTTGAGAGCACTGGTCGCATTTGGAGCAATTTTTCTTAAAGACGCAACGGAAGTTGTTGATCTTACGATTACTTGCACAACGTTCTTTTCTTGTAAAAATATATTTATGAAGTATTATATATTTAAGTAATATATATATTTATGAAGATTCCACAATATTTCAAAAATATGATAATTTTTGAAAAATATTTGGAAAGGGAAAATTTAAAAAATATGCAAACTCACGAGTTAGAGGTAGAGCGTGCCGACACGTCGCGGTGCTACGACAGTGACAGCTAGACGTGGTCCACATTTAGTTGGTGGCAGAGGTGCAGACGTGACAGGCGGCGGAGTTTCCGGTCTCGTGCAACCAAGACCACTTCCACCTCGTAGCTCCCAGACCAAATTTGTCAGCGATCGTGGTCTGCTTAAACGTCTCGATCTAGCAAATTATATAAAAAAAATATGATAAATTTTGATCACACGAATATCATATGTTTTGACAATTAATAATTAAGGCATGTAAATAAATATTAAAGTTATTTTATCCGCTTATACATGTCTGTGATTTGAATAATTTACGTATATTATATAATATGATATATGTATATTATCAATATATATATATATATTGTAAAAAATAATTATTTAATAATTCAATAATAAACAAATTAGAAAAAAAATATACTATATTTCTTGAAATAATATTTTAATAACCAACAATAAATGTATGACATAATAACAAAAGTAAAAGATTTATTCGATTATGCTTTCTATTTAATACTATTTTTAAAGTAAATTATTTATTACCATTTAATTATCTTCTTCATAAAAGATTAAAGAAGATGTCTTAATATATATATATATACATATATAATATGATTAAAAAGAGAGAAATTAAAAAAACTGCTTTTTCAAATTTAACAAATAAATTTGACAAATACATTTCGACATTTATGAGCGTACCTTTTTTCCGGCAATTTGGCGCCCGCGCCAGAATCTCCCGAGGTCCTTCCACCCGAGTGACTGGAATCCAACGTGCCGTCGAGCTCCATCGCCTGCTGGAGATTCGTCAAGCTTTTGTAGCGTATATTGAAGAGGGGCGAACCTCCCTTGTAACCCGGCGGCGTTTCCTTCAACGGCGACGCGCTCTTCTGCCTCATTAACGGACGTCCACGTTGAGTGCCGCTGTTCTTCACGTATAGCTTCGCCAGAGGCGGCTTCTCCACCCGCGGCTGCGGCGCCTCCTTGACCGCGCGCCTCGTCCGTTTCTCCGCCTGGATCTTCTTCGTTGGTATCGTCTCGATCGGCGGTGGTTCCGGTCGATCATCGAGCAGTGGCGCGATCGTCACCGTGACCGGCGTTAACGGCGGAGTCGAGCCACCCTGACCCGCGGCGACGAGAGGACTCTCATACGGCGACCTGACGCTCTTCGGCAACGGCGCGAAACCGCGCACGTAATCATATATCTGATCGATCTCGTCATATTCCTCGGTACAGGCCGACGATGACGGCGGTATCCTGTTCTCGTCCCGATAACCCGAGTGACCGGAGGATGCCTGATGGCCGTTGCTGCTGTGATAGTGATGATGATGATGATGATGGCTGGCGCTGCTGTTTCTATGATGACCCAGTGGCGCGTGATCCGAGTTCGTCGACGGTCTCCTGAGAAAGCCCGAGCCGCTCCTCTGTCTCGAGGACTTGCCCTCGCCCAGACGACCGTCCAGCACGTGCGCTCGATCGGCCACGTCGGCGACCAAACGGGAGGCGCGTTCCACCAGCCTCGTGAACTCCTGCATCGATCTGAGTGCCTCCTCGTTCCGCGCCTTCACCAGCTTAAGCGGCGCCGCGAGCGGTAGCGCGACGGCCGCGCCTTCTCTTTGCAACGGGAGCGCGAACACGTGCTCCTCCTCGAAGGTCGACAGCAACCTCAACTCGGGCACGAACTGCGACGACGATTTAAGCCCCCGCGGCGGCTGGCCGTGCACCAGTCTCACGGTGAGCGGTAGACGCTTGCTGAGAAGCGCCCTGGCGGTGTGTACGCCGCTGATGTTGTCCTCGCGCGCCAGGGCGCTGAAGCGACCGCGTTGATCCATCCCGAGCAGGACGCTGTCGCCGCGGCAGTCCACGCAACGCAGGAATCTACCGCGACCGGGTAACGCCACTTCGCCGGCGATGACAATCGTCTCGCCGGCGGCGAGGGTCCTCGTACCCTCCGGTACCACGATCCCCGATTCGTCGTCCACCCGACAGGCGATGGAGCGCACCGTCTCGCGCACCAGAGCACCCTCCTCCGGGCATCTACGCGACAGCTCGTTTACCGATTCAATGCCGCGCACCGCGCGACCCTCCTCGCTCAGAATCTCGAAGTAGCCCGCGTACGAATCCGGTATCGCGAGTCTAGGTCCCACGCCGACCACCCGGCGACCTTCCTTGATCTTTACCGCCTGCGCCACGATTTTACGCCGACGACCGGCTGATATCAGCAGCGCTGTGCTCTGCAAACTGGGCGCCGGTAGCGTCGGTACGCCCAGTCCACCGTACTGGCCCTTGGTGATTTTGATCACGGCTGGCAGACGATACTTGGAGACGAACTCGCGTAGATACGTCGCCTCCTCGGCCCAGCGTGCCGCCGCGACGACGATCTGACCGTCGGTCGCGGCCATCGCGGTCGCTTGGCCGCGACGCCCCCGCGATCCCGCGTCCCCCCGAGCGCGAGATCGGGCCCGATCAGGTCCCCGACGATAGCTGAACGCTACTGCTGCTCCTGCTGCCTATGCGCCGCGCCTCTATGCTCCATCTGGAAACATGAAATCGTGCTTTAAGTACTTTGACAGCTACACTTGGCTGAGAATATTATAATAAAGATGTAGCAAGCAATATCGATGGAATATTTTACAATTTAATCTACGATTTTAATTTTCGTAAAACATGTTTTTTTTGAACGAATAAATCGCATAAAATTAAAAATGCTTTTCAGAGAGTGTGTATTGGTAATTATTAAAAATAAATATAGTTTAATAAAGGATTATTATAAAATGTGTATGTATAAAGTATCTCTATAATCTAGCTCTACATATCCGCTCTATTCGCTCATCCTTAGTGAAATATGTAGATGATGATAATAATTAGTATTCAAGCATCTATGCTGCTGGAGCTTGTACAGCTAATCTCTGTTGCGAAACTATGCCCGCCTTTACCATGTTAATTTCGACAGACGAATGCTTGCCTTTCGGCACCGCTCGCCACTTGCCCACCAATGTTTGATGCACTTTTAATGCATCCTTTCCCACGTGAAGCACTATTGCGATTCCGTGAAGCGTCCGGCACCGCGGCTGCGCGAGGAGCTAATGCCAATCCATGGCTCTATAATAATATACGCAATGACCCGTCGTGTCATTAGTCAAGTTTCAATTACGGACCGGTTTCATAATTTCCGCAGCAAGGGCGGTCACCGCTCAAAACCTACAAATGGCAGGTAATCACGTATCGTGGGCAGTACCCTTGTTGCTTCCTAGTTCGTCATTCAGAACGGAGATGAGAAATCATCAAGGGAGGAAGCTCGCGAGAAGCAAAATGGAACGAATGCCTAAGTGCATCGAAAAAAATGAGATCATAGCTTTCTTCGATACAAAGTGTCGTTCGCGTATAATCCAATCATAATTCAAACGCGTACAAAAGAGAATAAATCTAGGGATGCGCGCTAAAATTCATTCCGTGAGAGCGAAGAATCGTGATCTCAATTTGTAAATAGTCCAACGAACGGATCGGGCGAGGATGTAATGATTCAACAATGATAATACTAGATATTTACACAATGTCTTGTAGTCTAGAGAACATTATTGTTGCGAGATACTTAACTAGACACGATGCGCTTGCATATATTGTACGTGGATGGGTGTGTCTACAATTGTTTCGGGTTTCTCCGAAGAGAGTCTCATCTATGGAAAATAACGGTCGTGAGTCTGATCGTCACGCATTACGCGAGCCATGGTATTATGGATAAGCGGCTTCACGCTTGCGTTGATTGACATGGAAACGGTCAGCGGATGGCGACAAAAAAGTGACCTAAAAACTCCTATTATATTGAAATGATTCATACAACAATATAAAAAGTTTACAGTTTCTATCGTGTAAATATATTTGTCATGTGATTAAATAATATGTAATATTGCATGATTAAATGATGATTAAATAATATGTAATATTGCATTTATAAGATTGCAATTTAATATGTGCAACATCGAAAACATGATATACAATAATTTTTACTTTGAATTTCTATTATTAAATTCTACGCATAATTTTTTCCTTCGACAAAAAACAGAACCGATGATATATTAAATTATAAAAAAAAATTAAAATTGTAATAAAATCTCTGATTTATTAGGACATATGCAATTCTAATGAGAGAACGTTTGTATACTTTGCAAAATGGATTTGTCGGTTGAGGAGACTCGTTCGTAGTAGTTTATACTCGCGATAGCTCACGATTATTACGTTACATTAAGACGATATGGGCCCAACGAAACACATTGTTGTCCGTTACCTAACAAAGCGCGGATAAACCTGTATAGGTGTATGTGGATGGGCGTGTCGACGATTGTTTCGGATTTCTCCAGAGAGGATCTCCTCTTGGAGGAAAAGTAACGGTCGTGACTTGATGCCAGGCAAACACGATAATCTGTATTAAACGATTTTGCGCGAACCAGTCGCTTGCAAAGTTTTAACGCGCCTTGTTTCACAGCTGCATCAAGTTTTAACGCGCTTCTGACAGTTGCCGCAGAAGTCTGGATAGAAGAAGCGGACATTCAAGGACACATTTTGCTCGCAGACAGCGATTCGTCTACTATTAAACATTACGTAAAATAAATTAACTCACTGAATATAGCAGTTTAGAATAAATTGTATTTAAAATATGCATTGCAACTTTTTTCATTTCGCGAATGAATACAATTTTGCATAACGTTCAATTGGGAGAGAAAATTGCGGATGATTATTAAGAGAGACAGCGAATCATGATTCTATATATACGATTCTATATAAATAAAGATTTTGATTTTAAAGCTTCTGAATTTAATATCTATAAATATGATCAATTACAAAGTAGCTACGGACTAATGCAATCATTCTGATTAATTGCTTCGATAACTAATAGCGAAAAATATTTACTAAAGATAACTTTTATTACTTCCCCGATCGACTCCTATATAATCCCGAAGCTGCTAAATGAATTAATACCATTTATGGTGAACCGTACAACGGCACCGTGCATAAGATGGGCCGTAGACAATACGAGATAAGAACGAGGTGACCAATGACCCGGGGCTTCGTGACAGGCGCGCCTCTAGGAAGTTATTCGACATACTGCTTCGCTCAACCTCGCTTTTTTTCCCCATCTTTCTCTCTGATATTTTATGCGCGTGAACTTCCGCGGTTACATCTAAGCGTGAATGGTCCTTATCATGAGACCGGTGAACAGATGATGTAATTAATGTGAAACTTAATGCCCGTTAAGAGGTCGAAGCGAAAGTTTCACCAGCCCATTTCTTGAATCAGCGCTCGATTTCGCAATCGATGATATTGTAATTTTCAATAGGAGCTAAACTATGTATTTTAATACTATTTCATAAAGAATCTTTTAAAGACAAGATTGAAATATTTCGTCTAAAATTGTATGAATGTTCTATGAATATTTTATATATATATTTGCGATATTTTTATCTTAAAATATTTTTCCTAATTTCCATTTAAGAAATTCTTACAAATTTTCCATACTTTAAATCTTAATAACTAAGGAAACTACAATAAAACTACATTAAAATTAAAATATATGCTTTATCATTTTATTCCTCGAGTGCACATTTGCATGAATATATTAAAGTGTTTCAAGTTTCTTAACTTGCACATTTTCACTTCTAAATTCGCGAAAAGTCTATCGTTTCTCTTTGCATGACTTTAATGGATTCCTCGCCAAGATGCAAATTTGCTTCAAGAGAAAGAAAATTTTTTTAAGACATCGTATCTCTCTTTCTCTCCCTTTCTTTTTTTTATCTATCTCTCTTGGACAGTTCTGGAGTACTCGGTGCGGACGAATTTCTCGCCTACCCGACGTCCATTGCATTACGAAAGCCTAGCAGTGCGGCCGACATAGTTGCACGTCACGTGCATATGCCTAGGCATAATTAGATTAATGCAGCACGAAATTGGATTAAGAAACCGAAGCCGGCGGGCCCCGCGCCGCCCCCGCGACGAGCGCTCCAGGCGGAGCACGTTTCTCCCTCGAAACGCCACGGGGTTAATTAATCTTCGCTGGAGAGCGGGTGGTAAACGAAGCGTCACGTACAGAGACGGACCGCGTATAAATCATTTCGAGTGCACGTCGCGTCGCGCGGCGGCTTCCGCGCGTAAATTGCGAGCGTTAATCGCAGGCCGGTTTAGAACAGGCCACGAAACCGCTAGCTGGGGATGGAGAAAACGGAGCATCTTGGGAACTTACGAATTCGAGACGATTTGCGGCAATTTTGTGAAAATTAAGCGGTTTTTTTTGAAAATTCTAAAATAAAACAATCTTACTTTTTTTACATACATTCGGTATATTTCGGTACATTTAATTTTTGATATGAAATATAAATATGAAATTAGACTCGTCGAATTTTCGTGCAATCCAATGGTCGAGAACCGGTCATTCGCGCGAGTCGTCGTATCTTCGATCGGATCGCGATCGATTTTTGCAGACGGCACGCATTCCTCGACGAAGTAGTTACGACTGCGATAAAACGACACGACGAAGGACCGCGCAGGCATGCTGTCGATCGCGTCGTTACGCATATCGATATGCACGCGATACGATATTCGCGATTAGAAGCGAAAACAATTGGCGCGGCCGGTGTCGAAACCCCTTCGAGGAGACAAAAGGGGCACGATGTCGTCGGTGAAAGCCGCGCGGCGTCGAGCCGCAGCATATAATTCGAGGGCACGTCGATAAATCAGCTGGCGCGCGAAAGAGCGAGAGGAGCGGGGAAACGTCAACCGTTGCGACACGGATTTGTCTATCGGTGGGCGACGAGCGGTGCACATTGTCATTAAGATCGACGAGCGTTGATAAGTAGCTCGCCGTGCATCCGGCATCGCAATTTTCTACATTCTCAATCCTCTCTGTTCCGTTCATTTTCAATTTCACGCCGACGAGCTTTGCGCTTTCGTCATTTTACACGATCGCATTACGCAAAACGGACTTGTCTCTATTAACTCGTAAAAGATTGATTTAACACTTTCTCACTCTCCTTCTTTTCTCCCTCTCTTTTTTACTATAATATAAAATTAAATGTTATATATAGGTATATATTGTATGCGTGTGCGTATGTATATGTATTTATCTATATCTACTGAGTAGTTTATTAAAAAAATTTTATTAAGAAAACTCATCTATATCTTACTGATATTTTATTAAGAAAATTTCAGGAAAAAATAAAGCCGTGAAACTTGCACGATTAGAAGAAGAAAGAATTTTTAGAATTTTTAGAAGAAGAAAGAATTTTTGATCGCGCCAACGTCAGCCAAAGAGATTGCCAGCAATTATTAACCAATTACTCCGATCCACTTAATCAAAGAGGGCACTTTTCGAGAGTACCGCGTGCCATCGAGCTCGTGCGACATTCTACTCTTTTTCCATGCTCGACCCTTGACTTGTTCTCTACATCTCGGCAGTCACCTCCTGCAAACCGTAATAACTTCCTCATGAACAAGCAAGAACGCCACCATCCATCATCCTGTGGCCCATGGTTCTCAACCTTCAAC